CCACTGTAAACTAGTTTCTCGTGAGCCCGCTCTTTGTTGCGCTAACCAATTACAAATTTGGATAACTGATAAGAAAGCCAAAAAAGATGTGAAAGCCTATATTCTTCAGAGTGGTAACTTCAAAATTTCATTGATTTTCACTTGTAATAATTGTCCTTGGCCATGAAAGTAAGAGTCGGCGGCTTAATGATGGCCTTTGAAAAAACTTTCAAGGAGTAAGTCACAGTAAATATGATCAAACACTCTGATTGAAAGTAAAGTCAAAGTTCTAGCTCCCTCCTGATTTGAAGCCGTGTTCTAGTGATGGGAGCTTCAGCCGCATATGAGTCTTCCTCCTCATCTTTGCTTTCTCATCCCTCGGGTACTGGTTCTGTTGGTGCTGGCCTCGCCTCTTCTGTTCTATGAAAAACCCCACTCCTGTTTATTGCGGCCAATCTACTGAAATATCTGGAAATCTGGGTAGATGTCAGCCACTCGTCTTTGGTGAACACCTTCATTCCCTCAGCAGTTCGCATGGACCTCATTTGTGGTGCTACACCCTCAGCCACTGCTTTATTCCCAGTGTCCTCTCCTTGAAGGAAGACTTTACACAAAAACTGGCGCACTTTGGTGGTGAAATGAACAGACCTCTCTGTCTTTTTTAGTGCCCAGCCCATGTCAGCTGTTGGGAGCGCATCTTCCCACTGCCTATGGAAAACTAAGCCGGATGCAGACGTGGACGGCTGAGCTGCTTCCATGTAGCTACCAGAAACTGACTTGCACGTCTCTGCCCACTTTTTCTTGCATGTCGTACGTGGACTCTCTCTCTAACGCCAGAAGGTATTTCCCAGCAGGTGTCGCTGAAGGCTGCTGTGACTTTGGTAAATCTTTATACAACCCTACTCTGGGCAGCCAAAGACCACACTCTCTTCTTCGAGCTGAATCTCTTCTATGGCTATAGGCTCCATTGGATGTGCTGCAGGCTGCTGTTCTAGCATGCTGGAAGGGGCACAGAAGACACCAGTCAGCATGTCAGGACTATTGAATGCCTGGAGAACCTATAAGTTCGTCAAGCCTTGAGGGGTACGGAGATGTGCCAGCGATGCCATGGAAAAAAACTTTCCGGGTCCAACATTGCAGGCCCACCAAGCGAGGACTTCCCCTTCTTTCCAAGGCAGTCGTGCTGCGTTTCCCAAAAACTGGTTGGAATGAACTTCATGGCCCAGTCCACTATGAGCAGCATGTGCAATGGTTTCAGGTTATCAATAATTGTACTCTTGGCCATGTCCTGGTGAACTGAACAGAGAACGTGTGACTTCCAATCCTCTATGCTGGACGCAGCGCAGCTTGAATCAGGCTGTAACTCCTCTGGTTTATCAGGACTGAAAATGGATTATTTTACAGCCAGATGCTTTTCTCCTTTTTAGGCGTATTAAGCAAGAATTGAGTCGTAAGCGAATCAATTTCTTTTCAGTAGAACAACGTCTTTTTGATAAAGTTCTCTGTATCCAGATGCGATGTCAGGCGTGCAAGTTTCAAGCAAATGTATTCTTCCGTTACTAGACGAACAAAAGCCTTTTTTTTATTATAAAATCATTCTCACATTCAAATACAGACAAAGTAAGCATTTTGATAGTGTTCTATGACTCCTGGTTTGATTTAGCCAAGAGTGAGTCCCGTCACATAGTTCACTTATACAATAACAGAGGTCATTTTTAAGCTGCCGATTCTTATTTTTATGGCTAAGGTAAAACAAAAGCTTTCAAAATGGTTCTATTTCATTGAAGTTTATGGTGTGTAACCATTTTGTGGCATTTTCTGTCTGTTGCTGTGCCATAATTACAGAATCAATGCGTTATAGTGAAACAAACTGAAGCGGGTAACCTGCGGTGGGAGACAAGTTTGCAGTCCTCCTGTAAAATAGTTTAGTGAGTGCCCGAAGATTTTATTGCAGATAATGTTTGTATGAAGTCCCACCTTTTAGACGGTATGCTCAGCTTTTTGAAGCATGCTCGGGCACTGGAGATATTTTGGCCTAAACTTTGGGTGTTTTAACAGTTTTCACTGTTGGGTGAGAGAGGCGGTCTAGGCTGACATGATCTGTGTGATGGAACTCGTCGTAGGAGAACCAAACGTTGACAATAGATTGTCCTTGGGTAGGATAACATTCACTGAAAATATGAAAAGATTTGTTTGAATTCTTACAGCAGTAGAGCTTTATACTTCTGACCATTTTTTAAGGCAATTTTTGGTCATTTTTGCAAAAAAACCAAGGAGGGGTGGTGAAATCCCCCCAGTTTGACCAAATTTCCTTAAACGTAGACTGAAGTAGTTTTGGGTGGACGCCTTTAAACTGGCAAAGTTTCATTGAAATCGGTGAGATGACATGTGCCACCCCCGCCTGGTCCTATCATGGATGCACTCTTAATGTTAGGATGGTATGTTTGTTGTGTTTTGCTTGTTT